GGATTGATTCAGTGACTGGGGTAATTGGGTTGGGAGTGTCAGAGACAATGCGATTGGCACAGGACGAGCGGAGTTTAGGGCTGTTGTACATAGGGTCGCTATGAGTCGCAGGCGACTCAACGGCACATAACAACAACAACAACATGCATTAGTTACATCATTCCACCATACCTATTCATTATCTGCGCTAAGTAACCCAGGGAATGAGGCTCGATGGAGAAGAAGATGCCTTCATGACTGGAGAATCATTAACAGCCATGCTTACTTACTGATATAGTTGCTGAACTTACTGATGAAGGTAAATAACTACAGGCTTTACTGTGGATTGTTGTCAACATAAAAAACCCAACCAAAATCTTTACCACTAGGCCAAGAAGCAATATCATGGAAAATATAAAAGATTGACATTGTGTACAATTTCGCTTTACTTGGCTTCAAAAATCAAGAGCTCTGGGAGCAGCAGTCAAGAAGTAAACCGGTTATTGCACTGGCCAGTTCTGCTCAACGGTGTTGAAGAGCAGAGTCCTTGCTTTGAGGACTGCTGCAGCCTAATCCAAGCCAGATTCTGTTCAGCGGCCTCGTGCAAAAGCTGGACAGTGAAGAACGAAGACCGAAGGGGAATCGATCCCTTTGAATTGTAATGTTGTTCAAGAATACTGAATATACTGTGGGCTACCAGAAGAATGAACACATCTCTCTTGGAATACTGCCAGAATCTTTTTTGTTAAGCAAGGATGCTGGCACTTCATCTCGAGTTCTCAATGGTTCGAACAGTGAACACACTGAGCTTCAGCACTTTAGGAGAAGATTCTCTCCTGTAAAAGAAATGGTAGCTGCGGCTGATGCCCCAAGTGCTTGCTCCACCCCACTAATTCCATCTCCCTCTGCCTTCCTCCCTGCACCTTCCCACCTCCTGCTCCCCACCCTCTACCCCGCATCTTGTCATCCCCCCCTTGCTCTGCCACTCTGGGAGCTTCGCCCCCCCTCTCTTCTAACCCTCTCAGCCCCTTTCTCTCCTTTCATCTCTCTTGCTCAGCTCATCCAGTAAACTCATTATCTAGACGTCTTCAGATGACTCAACCCTGCCAACAGGAAGTTATATGTAATACATTTTTAAAAACAGCATTTTTCAAGTACTTATGGAGGGGGGATAAAAACCAACTCTCAAACACATTGCCATGGAGTCAGAAGTGACTCATAGCTGACCCTCCAGCAGGTTTCAAGGCTGTAGAAAGGAGATTGCTCATCTTTCTCCTAAGGAACCACTGGTGGATTCGAACCAGTAGAGAGGCCCTGCTTTGGGGTTAACAGTGCAACTCCCTCCACACTAGACTACAAGAGCCATTAGAAAATAGAATTTTTAAAATATGCTGAACGTGTTTCTTGTTGCTGTTTTTTTTTATGCCATCAAGTTGAAACTTACCTTCCAACAGGTATTCAGAAGTTGTAAATCACACCAGAGAAGACTATCTCCATTTTTCTCCCATGGAGCATCTGGTGGATTCAAACTGTGTGCCTTTGAGATTGTAGTGCAGCTTCTTTCCATTAGGCCACTAGAGCTCTCCTGAGCACATTGCTAGGAGGGGCAATTCACAATGTTTGGAGGGTAGAAGATCATCAAAAAGAGAGGAAGACCTTTAACAAGCTGGATTGATAGGGTGACTGTAGCAGTGGGCTCAAATGTGTCAGAGAGGATGAGGCTGGTGCAGGATAGGACGTGGTCCAGGCCTTGTTCATAGGGCTGCTGTAAGTCATGCTGGATTCAACAGTACATAACAACAACAACAACAACAAATAGTATAGCAATCAGAGCATATTTTCAGAAAGACGCAAAATCTGAAGTATTCTTTATCTACTCTTCTCATTCTGATTTATGTTCCAGCACTTTTGAAAATGGTCCTTGAAGCCATTGTACCAGTTCAGCCCTTTGTTGATGCACTGAAGTGCTGCTAAGCTCTCTGCCTTTGCCTCCACACCTCCAGCAGCGAAGTGCCATAGCCACAGCATCACTCTACCCTGTGATCCCAAGAGTCACAGCTACAGCATCACTATGTGCTGTGATCTGAAACTCCTGCTGCCTTTTTGGGGGTGTTAGTCAGTTAGTCTTTTCTAAAAGTTGCTTTATGGAACAATTCTCCCACAAAGCAAATGTCATGTCTGATAACCAAGCCCACATATGCAAAGTGCTTTAATTCCATAGCCAGCTCTAATGTCTGCCTCAAATTGGCTAACCTTTGCTCTGCACACCTCCGCACTAGCACGCAGGCATAGCAAGAGAAATATTGAGCTATCTCACCATCTGCGTGGTTTAATTTAACAAATAAAGACTTTCCTTTCATTTTGAAGAACATTGCCCTCAAGGAAACTTGCTTGTCTGAAGAATCAGTGTATATTCTAGTGTTCACTCAGCCTCTCGATATTAAAAAGCTAGAACTCTGGAAGGCAGTGCGGCATTTCCTCAGAAAGCTGAACATAGAAATTCCATTTAACCCATCTATTCCACTGCTTGAAATATACCCCAAGAAAATGAGAACTGAGGTGCAAAGGGAAACTTGTACACCAGTGTTCATAGCAGCATCATTTACTATCACAAGAACATGGAAATAGCCCAGATATCCAACCACAAGTGAATGGATTGAGAAATTATTGTACATTCACCCAGTGGAATACTAAGCAGAATGCAGGAGCAATGATTTTGTAAATCACTACCTAACTTGGGAGGATCTGGAGGGCTTTTTTGCTAAGTGAACTAACTCAGTCCTGTAAGGACAAATGCTGTATAAGACCATTATCATAGAAATAGATAACTAGTGAAACACGTATGAGGATCTGAGGAGGGAGGTGTGTCGGATCAGAGGGGTGTGGGTGGGGGCATAATCATAGTGTTGCACAATTTGATGGGTGGAGGGAGGAATGTGTTAAGGAAATGGGAAAGATCTGGTGTGAAAAGACAGTGTATACAAACTTTGTAAGTAAATCAGTATAAAATTTAAAAATTATATTACATAAAAAAGGGGGGGAGCTAGAAAAAGGAAGACTGGCTGTTTTCCCCCTTCTACTTCCAGATTTTCCATTTACTGTTCGGTTCAACTCATTAACTATTTACTGAGTGCTGACTCGATGGCACATAACCGCAACAGCCTATGGACTGAGTACCATGTGCTGTGGACTATGTACTAAGTACTGGAGATACAGCCTTACGCGGAGCAGACTCAGTTCTTGACCCTTTTCAAGTGCGCAGCTAGTTTGAGCACAAGCTGCCAGTGAGGACTTCTTTATACACAGATACACACCCTCCTGCCACTACGCTGATGCCTCTCAGTGTGACTGTAAACCACAGAGAACTCAAGGCATAAAATGGAATGGCCCTCATGGAATCCCCATTGCCCAGTACAATGCTTTACACATAGTATGTGCTCATTAAATTATTGGCAAATGGATAGACAAAGATAAGTTCATTTTCATAAAAGGTGGTTCAATACAAGCAGCCTTGCCTTCCTTCAGGAGATTATAGATTAATGCACCTCATGCACACCTGCCATAGTATTGTTGTTGCTGTTAAATGCTATCAAGTCAACCATGACTCATAGGGATCCTGTGAACGACAGATCTGAGCTTGCCTTTTCCTGCACCATCCTTCCCATCTCTGATACGCATATCAGAGCCCATTATTACTGTCACCACTGAGGAGGTAAGTACATCAAGCTTGGAAGGGTGGAGGGTTGATGAAAGAGAGGAAGACTCTCAACCAAGTGGCTTGACACAGTGACTGAAGTAATGGCGCTGATAGGACAGGGTTCAGATCTGTTGTTCCTATGGTCATTATGGGTTGCACTAAACTCAATGGCACCAAACAACAACAATGACATAGCAAACCATCTTATTGAAGGTTTTCCTCTCCCTGACCCTCCACCTTTCCCAGCATAACATTCTTTTCCAAGAACTGGTATCTCCTGACAGTGTTCCCAAAGGATGTGAGTCAGAGTTTAACCAGCCTTGCCTCTCAGGAGCACCAGGGTGTCCCACCTGTAAAGGAGGCTTATATGCTGCAAAATGCTGAACAGGTTTCAGCCGAACTTCCAGACTAAGACAGACCAGGAAGAAAGGCTTGATCAAAAATCAGGTATGGAAACTGTGGATCCCAAGAGGCCAACCCCATTGTGCGTGGTTAGCCATGACTTGCAGGCCGCTCATTGAGAACAGAGAACAGCACTTACTTAGCCAAGCTGCGACTTGTAAGGGTGGATATGGTGCGTAACCATCATACAAATGAACGCTATCTTTCAGTCTCTGCTTTTACCATATGTATTTTCCCAATCCTGTTGCATCCTAAGTGGCATCGTTTAGGGTGCTAGCATGTAAAGACAGGTGGGAGAGGGTGAATCTGTACTTTTTTCCCTTTATGTTTCTTCCATAAAGACATTCCTTATTAGATGCTTAAGTCATATGACTGCTACTCAAATTGCCTGCCACCTCCGCTCATAGCTTTCCTTCCCAAAAATTTAGGGGGGAAAAAATCTACATTGAGCTGGGAAAGTGCAGGCGTGTTTCTCCTTGCCATGTGCTGGCAATAGTTGAGGTCTGCCATGGAAGTTCTTCACTATTCCCCAAGGCGAGAAGGAAATGATACAACTAATTTTTCTACAGCTGACTTACAATGACTTATAAATGCTCCAAAGAGAAAAGCGATCTAATCCGTCCATGCCTCAGTTTCTGCATTTGTGAAATGGAGAGTCCAGGGTTCGCTCCCAGCCCTTCCGTTCTGAGATCCACAGAGCCACTAAAACACTTCTTTTCCTCTCCTGTATCTTTTGTTGTTCTTTCCTCTCAGTTCACAATTTGCCATGGACGTGCAAACAACATCATCCAGAGGGCTAATATTTTACGCGGGGACAGAGAACTCTTTTATGGCCCTTTATCTTTCAAGTGGAAGGCTGATGTTAGCATTTGAAGCAGAGGGACAAAGACTGAAACTCAGAAGCAGACAGGAGTGTGACGACGGGAGATGGCATGAGGTGAGAGTTAAATCTGTGCTGGATCTTCAGGGAGGGGCTGGGTTCAATGTTGGAGGAGGCCCAGGTTCCTTTCCTGGCACAAAGGTTCAGGGCACTGGAAGGGGCCTGAGTGACTGGAGGAACTGATTCTACCAGCTTCGCAGCCCTCCGCTCATCCCACGGACCCTCCGCTCATCCCACGGATCCTTCCAGCATGCACCGTTCGAAAGTCAAGAAAAGCTTTACTTCATTCTCGGCTCCCAGACCTCTAGACTGCCTCACACCGCTTGCCCACTCCCACCCAACCTCCTGGGCAGTTTCTCTGCCTCACCATCTATTCTCAGTCCTCCCAGTTGCATGTGCTTACAGGCCCACTTCCCAAGCAGGCTGGATCCTGCTGTACCCAGATGCAAAGAAATCCAATTTAAGACAAGAAGAAATTTAGCTGTGAGGTGTTTGGGGTTTTTTTCCTCCTGATGATAAAACTAGACTTCAGAAAAATTAAGTGGCCTGGTGATTCGTGCTCAATCATTGTACACATATTTTATTTATGTGTCCTCCTGGAGCACAGAAATAAAATAAAATAAAACCTCTAAAGACCTGCTGGAGGGTCAGCAATGAGTCAGTTCCGACTCGACAATACACAAAAAAAAAAACCAACAATGTCAGAGTCTAATAAAGGCTTTGAGGGAGGAACTAGTAAAACGAAGTAAGACAGTAATAGACTACTTTTGATAGGAGCTTTGGTGGCTCAGTGGTAAGGAATTGCCCTGTTAATCAAAAGGTAAGTGGTTTGAATCTACCAGCTGCTCCACGGGAGAAAGATGGGCAATCTCCTCCTGTGCTGTTTACGTACTGCCTCTGAAAACCCACTGGAGGGTCTGCTATGAGTCAGTTCTGACTCAACGGTACTCAACCACAACTTCTTATTTTTCTTTAATTGAGATTTTAATGAAAGTTTATGAAGAACTTGGATTTCTATCCATTCATTATTGCACAATTTCCTCCCTACTCCCCACCCCCGCCACAGTTCACTTTTTTTTCTTTGGAAAAAAAATTCTTTCATTGTTATATAGTTCCTTACCCTGAGACCACTTCACTATGCAGCTCCTACTCTGGACTCCTGTCATGCCAATAATACCTAATAATATATTCCTTTTATACAGTTCTCTCCCTTGTTTGCCTCAATGCAACACACATTATTTATCCCCTTTTCCTAGTTTCCTCCCAACCCCTATGTCAGTCCTGTTTTATAACTGTGGCATTATGCAGTATTTGCCCTTTTGTGACTGAGATATTTCACTCAGCATAATGTCCTCCAGGGTCACTCATTTTGTATAATATTTCATGAGTTCCCTGTTTTTCAGCGCTGTGTAATATTCCATTGTGTGAATACAGCACAGCTTCTCCGTCATTCATTTGTTGATGGGCACTTGGGTTGTTTCCAACTCTTTGCTATTGTGAACAAAGCATTAGTGAACATGGGTGTGCATACATCTGCTTGGGTGGCAGTTCTGGTTTCCCTAGTGTATATTCCCAGTAGGTTGAACACGACTTTCAGTAGAGTAGTCAAGGAAGGTCTTCTGCAGTAAGGGATGGTCAAATTATGGGGAATTCACTGTAGGCAAAAGGAACGGTGACCACGAAGATTCTGAGGTGGGAATTAAACAAAACAGTAATAGGATGATGTAAGACAGAGAAGCAGAGCCCAGATCACGTAAGGCTTGAAGGCCCAGCTAAGGACTTCGGGTTTTCTTCTGAATGCTCTGGAACCTTTGGAGAGCAATAGAAGAATACTAGACAGCTTTACATTCTACAAACTCTCCAGTTAAAGGGACTAAAAAGGGGTGAGAGGAGAGGTGAGAAGGCCAGAGAGGTGCTATGTTCTTTGCTTAGTAGGGTCATGGGGGTGGTAGAAAGAAGTAGGTCTTTCTGAATGGGTTCTGAAGGTACCAGAAAGGCTTGCTGATGGTGCAAATGAAATACAGGCTGATAGGAGACTAATGAGGAAGCTTATGATTTTGAAGCAGCAACTGGATCAGTGGCGGGGCCTTTCCTGAGATGGAGATGGTGAAAGGGGATGAGTGTGACCAGGGAAGAGCAGTTTAGATCTCACGATGCCCAAGAGTCTGTTGTGAACACGCAAAGGTTTAGTTGCCTGTTTAAACCCACACATCAGTAGGCAGTGGAGAAGTTCAAGGTCCCCATGGAGATATACATTCGGGAGACATTATGAGTGATTTTATAACCATCTGATAGCAAAATTGAAAGCAGAAGAAAAATAGCTACTTTTCCCTTACACAGTAGTTTTAATCAAATGAACTCTTTTAAATATCTAACAAATCAATAATGCTAACAGTGATGCTGAAAGTGACAACATTAGGGAGGAAAAGCCTTGGTTTTTTAAGCTATTTGAGGGAACTGAGAATTATTTTTTTTTAAAAGTAATTTCATGTTACTATTAATAAAATGCAGTGCTGATTATCAAGAGTAAAATGTAATTAACTTTTCTTTTTTCACTCTTAAGGTGGTGTTTGGGCAAGATGGAAAAATGGGTCGTTTAGTTGTGGATGGTCTGAGGGCTCGAGAAAGAAGGTTTCCTGGAAATTCCACCTTCAGCATCAGAACCCCAGTTTATCTGGGCTCCTCCCCATCAGGAAAACCAAAGGTAAACACTGGCATTGCAGAGCCCTTGGTAAAATTGTTATGTGCTGTCGAGTCACCTGCAACTCATAGCAACCCTATGTGCAACAGCCCTAAACCCTGCTCTATCCTGTGCCAATCTCATTGTCTCTGACACACCTACCCCCATTACCCCAGTCCCTGAATCAGTCCATCTCATCAAGGGTCTTCTTCTCTTGTGCTGACCCTTCGCCCTCCCAAACATAATGTCCCTCTCCAAGGACTTGTCCCTCTGCAATATGTCCAAAGTATGTCAGATGAAGCTTTAGAACTCTTGCCTCCAAGGAGCAGCCTGGTTTAACTCTCTCTAGGATGAATCTGTTTGTTCTCCTAGCAGTCCATGGTATATTCAATACTCCAGCACCACAGCTCAAAGGCATCAATTCTTCTTCTAACATCCCTAGTCATTTTCCAGCTTTCTGATACATAGCAAGTATTTGCAAAGACTATGGCCTGAGTCAGGCGCACCTTAGTCTCCAGACTGACATTGTTGCTCTTCAAACTTTGGAGAGGTCTCTGACAGCAGACTTTCCCAATGAAATTTATCTTTTTATTTCCTGGCTGCTGGTAGCAAGAGTGTTGATTGTGGATCCAAGCAAAGTAAAGCTGTTAAAAATCTCAATCTGTTCATTATCTATCATGATGCTGCCAACTGGTCCAGTGGTGAGAATCTTTATTTTCTTGATGTTGAGCTTTAATCCATATTCATTTACCTTTTAATATACAGGCAGTTCCTGGATGCAAGCGTCAGTCTTAGGAACAACTACTGCTCACCCTTAATGTTATACAGATCTGCCCGTATTGAACCAACCCTCCAAAAGCAAATCAAACCTGATGCCACCAAGTCTATTCTGATTCACAGTAACCCTTTCAATGGTTTCCTAGGCTGTGAACTTTTAAGAGACTGCCCACCTTTTTCTCCTCAGAGCAGCTGGTGGGTTTGTTAAAATATATGCAGCATGTACATACATTTGCCAACAGAAACATCTGAGCATGTGCCCTGTGTACTTATAGGTGCGTTCCCTACATGTGTGTAAACACATACTTATTTATGTAGCCACACATTTTTAGAAATTGTTATTACAGTTATTACAAAAGTGCATATGCTGTGGCTTTTACTAAAACCATTCCTTATTCTTGTATACTTCTCAGTGTTATCATTTAACTTGGTCAGGTTGTGTTGACTTTATCCACCACCATCAATATTTCCTAACCTGTCACTGAAACTAACCAATGTCTATTATCTAGAAAGTGTTTCCCCCCTCTTTTCCCTTGCATGCCTGACAGCCATGGAAGAATGTTGCTTTGCTGTATGTACATGTACCTATTCTGTTTTCTATTAATAATGAGTCTATCCAGGATTTGTCCTTCAGTGATTGATGTCTTTCACTCAGCATAATGTCTTCTAGGGGGCGTTGTGTTGAATACAGCCCATAGCAACCCTAGGAAGCCTGTCCTATCCTGTGCCATCCTCACACTTCCATACTATAGTATATTTTGAGAACTCACCATTATTCTTTATGGCTGCATAGTATTCCACTGCCTGGATGTCTACAATTTGTTTATCCATTCATCTGTCATAGGCGTTTAGGCTGTTTCCATCTATTCACTATCATGACTAATGCTTCATTGAGCGTAAGAATGAATATACCTGTTAGTGTTAGTAGTTTTAGTTCTCTAAGAGTAGACACCTAATAATAGGATTGCTAGTGTCTAGGGCACTTCTGTTTCTAGCTTCTTAAGGAAGCTCTATACCATTTTCCATAGTGGTTGAACCCATGTCAAATCCCATCAATAGTGGAATCGAATTCCAATCTCCCTGCAGTCTCAGCAACATTTGTTGTTTTCTCTTTTTGATCTGTGTCGTCTTTGCAGGCATGAGATGCTATTTCATTTGTAGGTTTGCATCTCTCTGATGGCTGATGAGGGACTTGGTGGGGGGGCATAGTCTATAAGGAGTTGCACTGCTAACTCAAAGGTGATACTTCTCTGTCGGTTCATATTCACCAGGAGCTCCATGAGAGGAAGATAGACAGTCTTTTCTTGCATGATTTGCAGCCTCAGAAGCCAAATGTTGAGGCAGCTATGAGGTGATTCTGACTCAACACCGATGAGTAGGGCCCACTGAGAATGAACACTGTTATTTTTAACTCTGTGTCATTCATGACTTGATGGGTCACTGAGACCAAAACTGTAGAGTCTTTTACACCTTATTATTTTTGGAATTTTTTGGCCTCTTTTGACAGTCAGCTGCCTGCTTTAAGCTATCACCCTAGTTCATAAAAACCCTAGGAGGGGGGTTTGTTCCTGTAAGGAAATGATGAGATCTGTGAGCTGCAAGGTGGAAATTGGCCCTGTTGTGAATTTTTCTGTGGGACCAGAGTCAAGATCACCTCCCCGTTTTTGTTCAACACTCGCAGGTAACCCTAACCTCCCTCTACCCACTACAAACATACTTCTTGGCTCAATGGCACCTTCAGACTGTGACCACCACTGGACATCCAGTATCCAGATTTTTCTCGACATTATCTTGAGTGTGCTGTTGAGTCAGAATTTACTCATAGCTGACCCTCCAGAAGGTTTTCAGAGGCACTAAATCTCACAAAAAGAGATTGCTCATACTTTTCTCATGGAACAACTGGTAGATTCGAACTGGATGCCTTTGGGATTGCAACACAGCTTCTTACCACTAGGCCACCAGAGTTCTCCTTTATGAGCAGGGAACCAAATGAAACAGTCAGACCCACCTGACTCTTTGAAGTGTGAAGGACAGAATCCAAGTCCCTCTCGCAGACAAACAACTTCTACTTTAACCAGCACCCCTTTGTGAGCTGTGGGTATTGATGTTTACTTTCACTTCTGCTTGGTTGTAGACCCTTCCCCAGTCCAGCTTTGTGGGATGCCTGAAGAACTTTCAGTTGGACTTAAAGCCCTTGGATATTCCCTCTGCAGGCTTTGGAGTGTCTCCCTGCCTGGGGGATTCTTTGGAGAAAGGCATTTATTTCTCTCAAGTAGGAGGCCACATCATCCTAGGTAAGGAGCCGTTGAGTCAATGTCTTTAAATCTTAACAATGTCATCCTTTTTCTTTCATTATGATGTTTTAACGTCTTCTTTTTTTTATGTCCTTAAAGCTGATTCTGTCGTGTTGGGTCCCGCATTTGAACTTGTTTTCAGCATTCGCCCACGAAGTCTCAATGGGATCCTAATACACATTGGCGATCACTCTGAGAAGTATTTAAGCACATATATGGAGGCTGGAAATGTGCGTGGCAGGCAGATGGGATGGGAAGGGTATATGGATTCACATTAGAAAGTGATAACATTTCTGGAGATCACAGTGAGTCAAATTAAAACAGAGAGTGGGCTCCAACCTTGGGTTAATGGAGAGATTTTCTTTCTAAGCTAGCTTACCATTTCCCTTTAGCAAGTAATTTTATATCTCCATATTTTCTTGTCTTCTTTAACATGGAGACAACCCAACAATTTGAGTTAAATTCCAGCTCCTCCTCGTAGATTTATGATCTTAGACAAATTGTGTAACCTCTTCCTGGCTCAGTTTCCTTATCTGTACAATGTGGGTAACAGTTTTCATGTCTTGGGATTTTTGTCAAGATTATAGAAAGTAGCATCTTCTCAAATAATGTATATTTGATTTACCCTCACTCCAGCTCTTCATGTATTCAAAGGGCTAGCTCCAGAAGTAACGGACTGAATTTTTATCACCAGTTGTCTACACCACACCATACCCATCCGTTCCCAAGACCCACTTAATCTGGTTTCCAATTTCCCTCATTCTCTCTATACAACTCACCTGCCTTTCCCTCCTCTGAACCCCTGCTGGCAACTGAGTTTCCATCCCAGCTTCTGTTGTCCTGCCTGGACTCCTTCTTCAGATTGAACTTCTGCTCACTTACCTTTCCCTTCAGGCACAGACCTGAGTCAAGAGCTTATTTCAACATCCTAGTGTCTCTTCTTTCTTCCCCAGAAAAGCCTCCTCATAGCCGTCTTCTTCCAGAAAGCCTGTAATACTTATGGCCTTTAATCAAAGATAGATAATAGGCCATGTTCTCTCACCTCCATCCTTCCACCATGTACTAAATGTGAAGGAAGAAAATAGACGAGAAAAGTAAAATAACCTTAGCTCCTGGAACATATTTTCTTTAAATTGTAGCCTGAAAGTCTGAGCTTGTCTCTGATAACAGACACCAAGATGTGAACATCTCTCTACTGGGTCATAGGGGACTTTTCCAAGAAGGAATAGGAGGGTCTCCAGTGGGAGTTTGTGGATAAGAATAATCACAGGAGAGTGAATAGCTGACACGCCTGGCTGCAGTGACATTATTCAGCTCAGAAATTGCCAAACAGGCTGTCTAGTTGAAGTGCATGCAAATTAAATGCAAATTATGTATAGACCTGGCAATTTTCGTCCTCTCATTTCATTCACCTTGACCTAGAGCATGGAAATGGCACATTATGCACAAGTGCATGTTGAATTCCTGACCCTCAACATATGCTCAACACAAAACCAAGTCAGTGAGCATTTAACTTTCTTGGAGGAGCACTTGACAAGCATTATGTTTGTTGAGTTGTAACTGAGTGGCCCTCTGACAAGGCGTAGGCCTTTGTCAGCATTTATGCCTTCCACATTTCCCATGTCCTTCTAAACTGTACCCTGCCACATGTTAATTAATATATGAATTGTTAAGGACTCTCGATGATAATCCGTCTCCTTTGAGCAAGGCCTGAGGTTACAGTTTGAACTAGGCAGAAATGAGAGTAGCTTCAGGAAAGCCTTGGATTTGCAGCTTCCCTGCTTTAAAGGAATGCAACAGGGGGGTTCTTCTGAAGCAGTGCACCCCACATGAGCTCCTGGTAGGGCATGGAGAGGTCAGCATAGAACTGATATCTGCAGACTGAGCTTTTGGAAGTAGATCACCAGGCTTCTTTTGCAAGGTTCCACTTGGTTGACTTGAACCTGCCACCTCTCAGTTAACAGCTGAGTGTGGTAACAGTTTGTACCACCTGATGTGTAAAAGGAGACCAGTATCTAAGAGGGATGTGGGCTGTGTGGGTGGCAGAGATCTGAGAAGGGAAGGTAGCAAGGGGAAGTGGTCTCCAGGCATCTTTCTGAAGATGAAACACGTGTGTTTCAGCTCACAGTCGTGATGAAGAGTGGCACAGGTGGGATTATGACATCGATCTTACCCAGCCAGCCTCTATGTGATGGACGGTGGCACACAGTGAAAGGTATGTCATCTGTGACCGCTAGTTCATGCAGTGAAACGGGTAGACCCTTCCTATCCTGGTCTGAATATCCCAAATGTAACTGGAGTCCACCAGCCCAGCAAAGCCTGACCAGTCAATCAATCCATCGCACAGATTGATCTGTTCTCCTCACCCGGAATATTTACATTATTTATGAATATGCCTCTGGTTCTCCATAACGGACTAAGATTGCTCTTTTTCTCGAGCCCAGCAAATTGAAACTCTTTGTTTGATGTCTCAAAGTCTTACAACACTGCAATTTCGATCCTGATTCAGAAGATGAGAAAACCAGAATTCCCCTCTGCTTTTCATCCCTTACTGTGTGTGCTTGAGCAAATTACTTAATTGCTCTCTACTTTCTTAATCTATAACATTAAAATAAAAAGTAATTCATGCTTCATGTTATGTGTACCGTAGAGTTGTAACCATAGCTGACTTTCCATTGAGTTTTCATAGGCAATAAATTGCATGGGAGTTAATGGCCCAGCTTTCTCCCATGTAGCATCTGGTGGATTCAAACTGTGTACCTTTGAGTTGACAGTGCAACTCCTTCCCACTAAGCCACCAAAGCCCCCTTTGGTTTGGGAAAATTAAATTGGATTGTTGTTGTTGTTGTTGTTGTTGTTATGTGTCGTCAAGTCACCTGCAACCCATAGTGACCCTACGTACTGCAGCTCTGTACCCTGCCCTGTCCTGAGCCAGTCTCACTAGTTCTGACACACCAACCCTCATTGCCCCAGTCACTGTCACTAGGCTGTCAGAGCTTCCTCAGCTTCAATCTAGGTTGGCCAGGTTCCTGCAGGTAGTGTTTCCACAGCCTAAACTGAAGACAAAGGGCCAGAGGGTGAGGATCTCACCAGGAAATAAGCTTGGCTTGCATTCTTCTCCCTAGTCATCATTAAACAAGACACCCTGGACCTGGAATTGGATAACAACCATGCATCCAAGCGACTCACCTTAACACCGGCTGTCACTGAAGAGCCAGTCCACATTGGAGATATCCCAGGTAGCTCTTGACTTCTTCTGCTTCCTATCTTGTCCCAATATACCCTTAACATTTTCATCTGAACCCAACAAATGGGTGGGTCAGATGGGGATGGTGACAACTTTGCTCCAAGCATTTGAGAAACCCTGTTACTAGTAATTGTTGTTCTGTCAAGTTAGAACTGACCCACGGCTGACCATCCAGCAGGTTGTCAGGGGCAGTAAATCACACAGGAAGAGATTGTCCATCCTTCTTTTGTGGAGCTGCTGGAGGGTTCGAACCACGTGCCTTTAAGATTGCAGCATAGCTTCTTGCCACTAGGCCACCAGCAGGACTCGTTAGAGGTGCTTATCTCAAGCCTAAACTCACAAACATATAAGAGGCTGCATCAACCTGGAAGCCTGATATCAGCAAAAAATCAGGAAAGAGGTTGAAAAAACTTGGTCTCTCTTCTTCAGATACTTAGTTTTATGAGTGAGTTATTTAGGTTTGTGAAACCTGAGTGGGAAGACTAGAATGTTCCCTGGAAACAGCTTTTTCATCCTTAATTGTCCAATGGTCTTCTAACACATTGGCTGTTAATTTTACGGCTCTTTCAGGACCTATAAAAAACACAGGAGTTGTTATCAGCTGAGGTGGGTTGTGGAAGCTCCTATTTTGAAGAACTTGGATAGTCTAGTTGCTTATGTATCACACCAGGTGGTGTGTGGGAAGCCTGCTTAATGAGGAAATGACCGGGAAGATAAGGGGGGTGGGGGCGTCCCTTTAGCACTTTCGAAGAAGCCTGTTGTTACAAATACAAAGGACATGAATTTGTCAGAATATGCTATCCATTGAATGATTCTTCCTTTCCTCTTTCAGCCAATTTGAAGACGCTGAACCTACCAATGTGGAAATCACTTTATGGCTGTCTCAAGAATATCCACATCAACCACATTCCTGTCCATGTCACTGAAGCTGCACAAGTCCAGGGGACTGTCAGTCTCAAAGGCTGTCCTGACCACTAACTTGAACCTAGCAAGGAAGTTCACTTTCAAAAGCACTGATTACCCAGCTCTCCCAACACAATATTATTCTCAACTTAAGACACCATCTGCATGGGTTGAATCACAAACATCATCTTGGATTCTGACCATGTATTCCCATCATTCTGGCATTTTGGCACTCGATGATACATCTTTATTTCAGAGTAAAATCTTATTTCCTGAGCAAGGTGAACAAAGTATATTCTTTTGGTAATATTATTTTCCATTAAAAAATAAATATCTTTGAAAGAACATTATTTTCCACTTGTTAACAATGGAATCTATTTTAAAGTACTTTAAAAATGCAAAACTTTTACATATGTTACAGGGTTAACATCTATGAGATAAATAAAAGCAATATACTCTTTAAATAATTCTTTTATTAGCATGAAAATGATTTCTCTTGATGGTCATTGTTCATTGCATTAGTTCTCCAGTTACCACGTTCTTTTTGTGTGTCAATTAAAAAAAATTATTTTATACTGGTTTACATACTAAGTTCATAAAATTAGTATACATTGTTTTTCACACCAGATCTTTCTTGTACTTGCTACCACCTCAGTTTTATCCAATATTTGAACGTGAACAGGAAAGGAGCTGTGTGTGCTAAATGCTGAAGCTACATGAAGATGTAAGAACTGATTTCTACTCTTGATAATATGCATTCCACCTGGGGAGACAGGTCATATTCCTAACATAGTAAACAACTAAGAAGGTAAATTAATAGGCCTATGACTTTGCTTGACTCCTCAATCCTGGTTTTCCTCAGTCTGATATCAGTGAAGTCTAGGTTCTGATTATCAGATTTTTTCTCTCACTTTTTAAAATTTTAAATTAGTTTGCAAACTAAATTCATATACATTGTGTTTCATTCATGTGTATAGTGTCTCACACTCACATTTGTTTCATACAATCATTCCTATGCATTGTGTTTTATAAAATTAATCACCATTGATCTATGCCCACTATCACACCATCTTTTCAGGTCCCCAAGGGATCTTTTGTAATTCTTTTACCCCCTCCCTCCACCCACCAAACTCTGTACCCCAGTGGTTCCCAACCTCCCCACACTCCATCCCATGTTTGGACTTTTATATACATCTTACTAGTTATCTTTCTGTTACATTATTTTGTACATGTACAATAATGGTCTTATGCAGTATTTGTCCTTATGAGACTGAGTTAGTTCACTTAGCATAATGATCTGTAGATTCTTCCATGTTATATAGTATTTTACAAAATCATTGCTCCTGAGTGCTGCATAATATTCCACCATGTGAATGTATCACAATTTCTCAATCCATTAATTTGTTGATGGACATTTGGGCTATTTTCACATTCTTGCTATTGTGAATAATGATGCTATGAACACAGGTGTACAAATTTCCATTGGTTTCTCAGTTCTACTTTCCTTGGGGTATATTCCAGGCAGTGAAGTAATAGCTGCATCATATGGAATGTCTATGTTCAGCTTTTTGAGGAAATGGCAAACTGTCTTCCAGAGGATGAGGTGATTACACCTGCCATAATGAAAGCTTTATGTGATGAGGTACAACAGTCAGTAGGAAGGAGAGGTCACTTGTATTTACAAAACAGTGAAAGCTGCTCTGAACTGGTCTGATTAGCCAGCATCACTTCCCCTAACAAAGAAGGCAATGAAAGATCTTCTGGGATCTTCTACTCTGTATTTACCCTCAGGAGAAAAATAACAAGTAGTTCTAAAAAATCACATATGTTGGTATCATTATTAGGTGCTTTAAAATTGGTTCTGACTCTTTGTGGCCCTTTGAACAGCACAACTGACACACTGCTCAGTCCTGCTCCATTCTCACAGTCATTGCTATGTTTGAGCCTATTGTTGTGGTCATTGTGTCAAATTATATAGATTCTCAGCATTGGGTCATTCGGAAGCACCGTGATAGATGAACAAGAGATTGAGATTGTTAACAACTTCTGCTTGCTCACTTCCAATATCAACACTCTTGGAACGAACAGTCAGGAAATCAAATGACGATTTGCATTAGGAAAATGTGCTGTCAGGGACCTCTCCAGACTGCTGAGTACTGAAAAGAAAATATGTCAGTCTAGAGACCAAGGTGCACCTGATCCAGGCCATGGTCTTAGCAATTACTTACTACACCTCAGATAGCTGGACAATAATTAAGGATGATAGAGGAAGAATCGATGCCTTTGAGTTGGAGTGCTGAAGAAGAGCATTGAACCATGGACTGTGGACTGCCAAGGGAACAAATGATCTGTCTTGGAGAAGATGAAACCAAGCTACCCCTTTGGAGGCAAGGGTTTTGAAGCTCTGTCTCCTCTACTTAGTACATGTTGCCAGGAGGGTCCCGTCCAGGAGAAGGACATCATCCATGGAAAGATGGGAGGGGACAGACCAGGAAAGGAAGACCCTGGATGAAAAGATTGACACAGTGGACTGGAATAACGTGCATATGTGTGTTGAGACAGTGAGATTGGCTCTAGATAGGACAGGATTCAGATCTATTTTTAATAGGGTCACACTGAGTCAGAATTGACAACACAGAACAAGAACACAACTACCATGTCCTTCCTCAGAAACTGGTCCCCTGAGCCATGTCCAAAGTATACAAGACAAGAGTCTTGCCATCTCTCTTCTAAGGTGCTTTCTGGCTGCCATTCATCCAAGACATATTTGTTCTAAAACCTGGATCTAGGAATCTGAAGTATTTGGACTGCCAACAAAAGGTCAATGGTTCTAGCCCAGCAATCACTCCATAGGGGAAGTCTAGATGAGAGACTCAGTAGTGGCAGCAGGATCACAGGGATTTGGTTCTGACCCAGTTAAGTATTGTTGTTAGGTGCTGTTGAGTCTGACTCACAGCAACCCTATGAATAACAGGTCTGAACCCTGTCCTACCTTCACAACTCTGACACACGTGAGTCCATTGTTGCAGTCATGGTGTCAGTCCATCTCATTGAGGGTCTTCATCTCTTTCTCTGACCCTCCGCTTTTCCAAACATGATTTCCCTCTCCAAGGAATGGATCCTCCTAACAACATTCTCAAAGTATGTGAGACGAAGCTTTATCACCTTTGCCTTTAAGGAGCACTCCGGCTGCACTTTCACCAAGACAGATCTGTTTGTTCTTTTGGCATTCTGGAAGCCTCCTGTTTAGAGTCAACCAGGACCTGGTGGTCGGTCAGCCCTTGTATTTAAAAATATGTTGGGCCCTGACTAAGTCTCCAGTTAACTGGTGTTAATTGTGTTTGGATGAACAGTCTTCTAAGTGGTATAGCACTTTTCTGTCAATTTGCTATACTGAGATAATTTGGGGTTGCTGTGATGCTGTACACTGTGTCACTGGTGTGTCAAATGCCATAAAGGTTACCCAAGGTGGACAGTGTTTGGTGGAGCTCCCAGACTGAGACAGTCTTGGAAGCAGTAGTGACATCCACTTCCTAAACATGTCTCTGGAAACTCTATGAACATAGAGAAACTATGATAGTTACAAAACAGGGTTCAGGTCTTCTGTTCATAGGGTCACTATGAATTGTGCTTGACTCTACAGCACTTAACTACAACAACATGGAGTATTCAGTGCTCTTCTCAAATACCATAGCTGGAATACATCTATTCTTTTTTTTATTTTATTGGAAAAAACATATTGGGGGTACAAGGAGGTGAGGGGTGGGGGCAGACGGGTGAGGATGGGTGAAGATGAAAATTGTAGGGCTGCAGTTGCAGAGCTGTACAATTTGGTTGGAGGGGGGAGCAGGTGAAGGAAATGAAAAGGATCCAGTGGGGACCAGATGCTACAGGGGAATGGTAAGCATATGCCAGTGGTGATTAAAGATTTGGGAACTGAATGCAGACTCTCTGGCTTCTTCATGCTGAACAGGGGCATTGATGTGAAGGGGGAAAGAGAGGACACTTTGTCACCTTACTGATGGTCTTGGGTTAAAGCTGCTTGCCTTCTTGTTCTATTAGAAGATGCTTTCCTGACATTTTCTCCCCTCTGGACGGCAAAATGTTTTCCCAGGTGGGTCCAGTGGGGATGGCTGGTTGAACCCAAAGGATCCATCCGCCTTTGCTTCCTTAGCTGTCTGTTGTATTTCCTTTTTGTCACTGGCACTGGGTTCAGGATCAGGTCTGGAGTAAAACTCAGGATTACCTATAGGAAAGGGAGCAAACCTAGAGAGCACAAACTTGTGAGTTATAAATAGAAGGTCTTTGGGAGTGTTACATGGCACTGGCCTTCCCCTCTTCCTGCTCAGAAAAGGGTCCCACTGCCTCACAGACAGCTCTGACAAACTCCCTTCTTCCTTCACCGAGCTGTACCTCAAAACCACAGCCTCCCTGCTCTGCCAATCACTTTAACCTTCTCCCTTCCACATCCTCATCCTACTTTCACTACTTAGTGGCCTTCCTCCGAGTGGTCCGCTGCTCCTGCAGCTCACCATGATGTCTCCGCTTTCGCCGCCATCTTGGATCCCCCACATCTATTCTTTTTCTGTCCTTATGCATTGCCCAACTTTCAGCTGCATAGCAAGTGACTGAAAAGACCATGGTTTGAATCAGGTGCACCTCAGGCTTTACACTGGCATCCTTGCTTCTTAGTACATTGGAGAGTTCCTTAACAGCAGACCTGTTCAATCTAGGTCAGCCTCTGGTGAATGGGGAACTTGTCACTTCTGCAGGGGACCATTCCATTATTTTTTTATTTTTAAATCTCACAAAAAAAAGAAAAGCTCATAAAAGTATACACACCAGCCATAAACCCACCACTCAGAGACCTGTTCATGTTTGGCTGTTTCGATTGTTGCTGTCATGGGGTCCAACATGTCTGTGAACTCTGAGCTCTGTCCTGTCCTGTGCTATCCTCATCATCTCTGACATACTTGAGCCCATTGCTAAAGTCACTGTCTCAGTCCATCTCACTGTGGGACTCCCTTTCTTTTGCTGACCCTCCATCTTTCCAAGAATGACGTCCCCCTTCAAGG